AGTGGCAACTCAACTTCGAAAATAAAGTTCGAAAGAACAATAGTCGCCTGGCCACACTGCCTGCGACGGTCATTTGACATTTGCGTTCTTTTTCAAATTGGACGTCACAGCGAACGGCAGCATTTTTTCAGCAGAAAGTTTCAAGACAAAAGGTTTGATATCCCAGTGCGAATATAGCTATTTAGCTCCATTTCACCAAAGTCTGCACGATACAAAGTGTTGTGACAAAAATTAATAAGTTTAGCCGACCGCCACCAGGCACCAAAGTTGCGTGCGCATAAAGGGCCGATTACTCTGCTGCTGCCCACCGTGGGACTCAGGATTTGCATACCAATAAGGAGGTAAAACCACCGCAATAAGGCGCTTATATACACATCACCTAGTGATCAGCAGCGCCCACCGCGGGACTCCAAAAATTTTCCCGACCGGCGAGGGAGCACCCGATTTCAGCCGCTTAAAACCTCGAAAGGAGCACCAGGGACTCCCGTAAATCTCAGCATATTCGACCAAGGTGACCGGCCAGCGTGGGACAAGAGAAGTATGAGCCATACCAAACAGCGCATGTAAGTCTCACTATCCCGTTATTTTTCACCTATGTACATACATACATTTTTACCGTTAATCGACAACGGCATTCATATATACGCTTGTATGTATGTATATGCATATATGTACATACATACACGTTTCTTAACGATTTGCAGATCGTACTCGTTAACTCGCCCTAAAAACATTGCTTTATGTATGTACATAGCTAATCAGAGTGGTTTGTTTTGTTGTTGCCAACTTTAGCGCCGAGTTTTTGCTTTTACTCGTTGCACCTCTCTCATTCTCATAAATATAAAATCTCTTTTACTCGTTAAGTGGTGAAGAAATTTTTGAAACTGTAATTGTGTTCAGCAACCGAAGCGTTCGCTTAGCACATGTTGGCACTGCACAATTGTGGCAAAAATTGCATGCAACCAAATCTATCGAAGCAGAATGTATTAGCTTAGAGCTTCAAGATTAGCTAATTGCTATCTATCAAAAATTAGTGCGCGTAGAAATCTGAAATTTATTTCGTGTTCATGCATAAATAATGCTCACTGTCCAATCGACTAACCACTCGACAAATACAGCGCCATTAGCAACAAGTTTAACACGACCTAGTAAATAGCCATCGGCCTGAAACCAACACTATTTTCATCAGTTTGTACACCTCATTTATTGGTAATGATCTGACCCATTACGTACATAATATGCAAGTGTACAGGGGACAAAACAAAGATTCTCGCCAAGTTTGGTATTTTGAGGATGTCAATATCTGCTTGAGGTATATTGCATATTTCCATTAAAGTGGTTTATTTGCGTTACGACAAAATATACGTACATATGTATTTATGTAAATCCCTTATGGGCTGTTTTTGCTTACGCGTAAAAGCACATTTAGCGCATTTAGCTCTAAATGCTACTCTAAATGTACATTTATCCATACAAAATTCGTCACCTAAATGCAACTAAATACAACTCCATTTTTGCATTAAGAATCTAAATGCTAAAAGCAACCCTGTGATCTTCCAAAATTTCCACGATTCGAACATGGTTTAAAGAGAAAAAGTGGCAACATTGCTTTTTCGAGTATACAGTTGCTAGCTGCGTTTCAGTGATCGCCGATCGAGATTTCATTTATTTTACATTACATATTTGGATAAAGAAAAGTTAAGCAAATTCAACATCGATGTGATGCTGATATAAATCTGGATCAATTTGTGATCAACTCTGTTTGGTTTGTTTCCTATTTAAGTGAGGAAATTTTAATTGACAGCGCCGACAAATGAATATATACACAAACAAATGTTTGGTTATGGTTATAACAATTCAAGTTTTTGTATTGAATTTTTGGTTTAAATTTTATTTTTTCCTTTTCAGTAGGATTTTTGCAGATTTTCTTCTGCGTGAGAATTGATCGTAATATATACGGATCTAAATAAGAGACTGGAACACGGCTGTTTGTCAAAAGCATACGATTTCGAACTCGCGTAAATGTACATTTGCTAAACGCTATAGCATGAACGCTCTTCGAAAACATATGTTCGAAAGTGCTAAATGCTGCATTTTAAATGCAGCAAAAACGCTGCATTATATTCTCCGCTTCGCATTCGCGCAATTATAGCATCTCTGACTTGCAGATTTCAACCGGTTGCGCCGGCGTTCAAACCCAACCACTCGCGTTCTTATTAGATTGAATTTATCGCATTAGTTATTGTTTGCACAAACGAATCGTTCTCGCGTATTTCGGGATTTTTTGTGTTAATACATACCTACGTACGTATGTACCTACAAATCTTTGCAAGATTACGTCAACGTGCTTTGCGTATTACACAAATTCAGTAGTTTTTCACTATTTAGTATTCTTGCGTATGCATTTGTTTTCTTTTGTACTACGATCACATCCCTGCCCAGTGTTTACTTTTTATACTACCATACCGGTTGCGCCGGTGTTAGGACTCAATCATTTAAATTCTTATTAGATTTGCATTTGTTTACATTTTTTCTTCCATTGAACTAAATACTTTTTGCAAAGTGCTTTATTCGCGTTAATTGCTAAATTGTCGCAATCAAAATACAGTGGTTTAATTGCGTTAATTACGCGCTATAAATACTAGCATTCGTACGTTTTTACGGCAAGTTGCGTTACGTGTATGAACACAGTGGTGTTTTCCGCAATTAATATCCAGTTCGGCTCTCTAAACTTGCGTCCAACCCAACGGCCGGTCGAAATTTTCGGCAAAACTGTGAATTATACATTTTATATCCCTAGTACATACACGGATATTATATAAATAACTTACTTCCCACGTATATATCATTTACTGCACACGTATATATTTGTGGTTCATAAAAAAATAAAGGTCGATTTTTACGGTTTTTTTCGTACGGCTCGCTGCGTGCGTTAGCGTAGCATACCATTTCCTTAAAAGATTAAGCAAATAAGCAAAAGTCGACATTTATTTTGAACCGAACCAATTTCTCTCCTGAATGGTTTGCGAACTGTAAGCCAAACAGTTATCAACGTCTATCCCGTGTTAACGGTCCAATTAAAATTTCTGAAGAACGCAGTCTGCGTTAACTAAGTTTTGCACAATTATTTGTTTTCTCACACTTATCGGTTGATCTGATTGGGACCTTTGTCGATCCCGTCGAAGGTTCGGCTAATTATTTTTATATCTCTCTAAAAGGTTGTTTGGTACGTTTACCACTCACCTTAGCAGCCGTCGAAGGTTCGACTAATTTTTCTCTCTCTCCCTAAAGGTTGAATGGTACGTTTACCATTCACCTTAACAGACGTCGAAGGTTCGGCTAATTATTTTATATCTCTCTAAAGGTTGTTTGGTACATTTACCATTGACCTTAACCGAAGTCGAAGGTTCGACTAATTGTTTCTCTCTCTCCCTAAAGGTTGAATGGTACGTTTACCATTCACCTTAACAGACGTCGAAGGTTCGGCTAATTATTTTTATATCTCTCTAAAAGGTTGTTTGGTACGTTTACCACTCACCTTAACCGAAGTCGAAAGTTCGACTAACTTTTTTTATCTCTCTCTAAAGGTTGTTTGGTACATTTACCATTCACCTTAACAGACGTCGAAGGTTCGACCAATCAAATCCCACTTCTCGCCTGGCCAAAAGTGTCTAGTTGCGAAGTAAATAAAGTTGTCTTGGTTGCATTTACCCTATGGTCTCACGTTAAGATACCAAGGGTTTTCGATCTATATCTTTTCCAGAAAGCTAGTTAGGCTTGCTACTGTTTACAGTATCCCGTTTTTTCATCTTTGCAAAACATAAGCACTTCCGCTTCGCAATAGTTATCTGAAGTCATGGCGACTGAATCCGCAGTAATGGCAGATTTTCTTTTCGACTCCAACAATATTACAACTTTCTGTGAGCGTTTCGAAAAAGAAGATCCGGAAGACCACACTGATACTTTGCTGGAAATCAAGCTTCAGGATCTCAATGCACGATGGGAAAGTTTACAACTTTCATATCGGAAGGTCTGCCTTACTGATGAAAAACATGTTCCATCCGACTTCAAAGAAGAAGCGGGTAACAAATTCCAATTATGCACTGATGGATTTTATATTTGCAAATCCCATATTCTCGACCAGCTTAAAATGTTTCAAGGTAACCCAAGTCACCAGGCTAGCACCTCGCGTAACTCTTCTGCTTTCTTCGATAATTCTGTTCCGTGCATCAAAGTCCCACACTGTGATACCCAGATCTTTTATGGTAGCTATGAGGACTGGCCATCGTTTCGTGATATGTTCACGGCCGTTTACCTCAATCACCCAAAACTTACCCCTGCTCAAAAACTGTATCACTTACGGAACAAGACTCGCGGAAGGCTGGTAGCATTGTCAAGCATTATAAGTTATGCGATGAAAACTTTTCCCTTGCTTGGGAAGCCTTAAGAGCTCGTTTCAAGAACAAGCGAATTTTAATCGACAAGCAACTTAAATTGCTATTTACCTTCCCTCAGCTAGTTCGGAAAACAGCGAAGCAATCCAGAAAATTCAAAATACAATCAATGATTGCCTCTCGTGCCTTAAATCCCAAGGGGTTTCCGTGAGTGACTGGGACCCTATACTAATCTATTTATGCTCGACGAAGCTACCCGAGGAGACTCTAGCACTATGGGAACAGTCCCTTAAATCCAGGAAAGACCTTCCTAACCACCGGTATGAAGTAGTTGAACGGTTGCACAGCTATAAAACCACCAAGGCACGAAGTTCTTTCCCCCAAAAGGCATCCGCGAAGGTTCAGTCTTACCATTCACAGGAAAAGTTAGGGGCCAAATGCAAATTATGCAGCAACAACCATCCCTTGAAGCTTTGCCCCGAGTTCCGAAAACTCCGAAACCGAAAACAAAATAATTATTGTTCCAACTGTTTGGCCTACAACCACCTTCTCAACAATTGCCAAAGCACGTTTCGATGTCTTCACTGTAAGAAGGCTCATCACACAATGTTGCATATCAAACCAACTAGTAAACCGGAAGCTAAGGCACCTGTTAAGAAACCAACGACTCAACAATCCCTGAATTCCACATCTTTGCTGCATACCCAATCTCTCGAACCTTCCTCCAGTCATACAAGACACCCCATTTTCAATATAACTGAAGGCACTTACGAGGATTCTCCCACATCCTCGGCCGTAAGTTATCCCCCCGTTAAAGCGAATTTTTCGACGAACAATGAGAAGACGCTTCTTCCCACAGCCCAAGTGCATATTAAGCACATGGGCACTCTCTTTACCCTAAGAGCCTTAATAGACCAAGGCTCTCAAAAATCATTCGTCTCAGAAAAGGCTCAAAGACGTCTGCAACTTCCTACCTATCGAGAAAATTTCTCAATCACCGGAATGGGCGGGACTATCGTTGAAAATGCCAACCGAGTTTGCCAACTTACCCTATTCTCCAAACGTTGCAACATTAGCATAAACACTAAGGCCATTGTCCTTCAAAAACTCACCAGCTTTCTCCCATCATTCCAACTTCATAAACCAAATCTCTCAGAAATTAAGGACCTAGATCTTGCGGATCCCTATTTCTATACCCCCGGTCCAATTGACCTAGTCATAGGTAGTGACCTGATACCACAAATCCTCCTTCAAGGAGTCAAGCACCAAGTTTTTGGAAGTCTCCTAGCTCAAAATACCATTTTTGGTTGGTATTTAAGTGGGCCGTTGAAATCAATTGAGTGCACCAGTTTTGACACTCATGTTGTTGAAGACTCAAGCGAAAATTTCAACACTCAACTTAAACTTTTCTGGGAAACCGAAGAAATCACTGAACCCCGTCCACCTTCCGATGCTGATGCATTTTGCGAAAAATTTTATCAAGACACCACCTATCGGCAAAGTGATGGACGATATGTAGTCAGATTGCCATTTAAATCCGAGTTTCCTTCTAACCTCACTCTCGGTCCATCTCGTTCGCAAGCAATGAAGCAAGCGATTCGGATGGAACACACGCTTAAAAAAAACCCCGATCTCAAAGAAGAATATAATCGAGTATTAGAAGAGTATCTGTCCCTAGATCATATGAAATCAATCACTCCCTATGAAATCCATGAAGATGGCAAATGCTTCTCATATTATCTCCCTCATCATTCAGTCGTTAAACCCGATAGTAAATCCACCAAAGTTCGTGTGGTATTTAACGCCTCTAAACCTTCAGCGTCAGGAACTTCCCTTAATGACATTCTCCACATTGGCCCCACCTTACAATCTGATCTCATGTTTGTCATTTTGAATTGGCGATTGTACAAATATGTCTTCAACGGCGACATACAAAAGATGTACCGCCAAATCCTTCTACACGAAGATGATCAACAGTACCAACGAATTCTCTTTCGTAGGGAAAACGATACTAAACTCACGGACTTTGCCCTTAAAACCGTCACCTTTGGAGTTAATTGCGCTCCATATCTAGCCATTCGCACCTTGCACCAGTTGGCAAACGATTCAAAAGCCTCTTATCCTCTAGCCCAAAGAATCCTGACAAATGAAACCTATGTTGATGATATACTGTCAGGTGGGCACGATATTCCCTCTTGTGTAGATTCTCAGACTCAATTAATTCAATGCCTACTCTCAGCTGGTTTCCCCCTGAAGAAAATTACTGCTAATCACACCGAAATACTCAGTCATATACCAGCTGAAGACTTGCTTGACTCGGATCTCCTAAAATTGGATTGTTCAAGTTCTACTAAAACCCTTGGTATCCAATGGCATGCCTTAAAGGATTCCTTTTCATACTCTATTGACCCCATCAAATCACAGACGAGTGCTACAAAGCGGCAAATTTAATCGTCAGTTTCGAAACTTTTCGACCCCGCAGGGTGGCTAGCGCCTATTATTATTCAGGCAAAAATACTCTTGCAACAAATATGGTTAGAAGGCACTGAGTGGGACGAATGTGTAAAACCTACCTCTCTTCAAAAGTGGAACCAATTCATCTCTGACCTACCCAGTATAGAGCAAATTCAAATCCCAAGATGGACAGGATTCTCTCCAAATCAACTAGTTCAAGTTCACGGATTCTGTGATGCTTCAGAAAAGGCCTTTTGTGCATCAATTTATATCAGAACTCAAACAAATAATTCCACAGCGTCTCACCTGTTATTCTCAAAAACCAAAGTTGCACCTTTGCAAACAGTTAGTCTTCCGCGGTTGGAACTCTGTGGGGCAGTTCTTCTATCTAAATGCATTAAAAATGTTGTGAACCAACTCCCGTTGGGTAAAATAGAAATTTTCTTGTGGTCTGATTCATCTATAGTCCTTTCATGGCTGGAAAAGCCTCCATGTACTTGGAAGGTGTACGTGGCAAATCGCACTTCGCAAATTCTCCAGAATGTTGGAAACATTAAGTGGCGACACGTATCTACACACCACAATCCCGCAGATCTTGGAACACGTGGCTGCAGGCCACAGGATTTAATTAGTCAACCACTTTGGTGGCATGGACCAGATTGGCTTTTGAAACCACCCGACCAATGGCCTGTATCCTTCCGACAGAAGATCCCTCCGTTAGAAGAACGCAAAGTCGAATCACTACATACGTTAGAAAACGAACCTGACATATTAGACCGGTTCTCCTCTTGGCCGAAAGCCTTGCGTGTGATTGCTTATATGTTTCGATTTATTCACCGAGCAAAGCCAACAGCGTCAGCACCGACTATCAATTATGAGTCGGTTGTAATTAGTCAAAATGAAATGCATTGGGTTAAGNTACCAACTATCAATTATGAGTCGGTTGTAATTAATCAAAATGAAATGCATTGGGTTAAGAAACGCCTTATAAAACTAGCTCAAGAGAGGCATTACCCAAATGAACATTCAAAACTTTCGAATAAACAACCAATTCCCAAAAAGAGTTCGCTTCTGTCGTTAAACCCCTTTATAGATCCAAATGGGCTCCTCCGAGTAAATGGCCGCTTGGCAAACTCCTTCCTCCCGTACAATGAGAGATATCCTATTATTATACCGGAACCGAGTCGATTCTGTTTGTTATTTCTAAAATTTTTGCATAATTTGTTGATGCACGCAGAGCACCAACTGATAATCAGGACTGCAAGGCAAGAATATTTCATCCCTAGACTCAAGTCGAAAG